CAGGAGAGGTCTGCTGCTCTATGTGAGTCAGCTCCCTGGCGGGGGCTGCGGCTATCTTTATAGTGCTGCCCTTAATCCTTAATCCATTGCTATCAGGGAGGGCCCAGAAATATACTTTCTTGTGATTCTGGAGACTATATGTTTAGATCAGAGTTAGTTTTCTGAAGATGTTTCTCTGTTGGCTCGTAGCTACTGCTTCCCCTCTGCCTGCACAGTCTTTCCTTCTTTCTGTGTATCTTAACGTCCTCCCTATACAAGGTTTCTGTTATATTGGATTAGGCTTATCTCAGTGGCTTTTTTTAAACCTTAAGCACTTCTTTAAAGTTTTCACCTTTAAATGCAGTTATAGTCTGAGGTCCTGGGGCTTAAGATGTCAACACAGGAGTTGGGGGAGAGAGCACAATTCAGCTCACACAGCAACAACAAATAAACAAATCTACTATGAACATTTTTTGGTAGTCTGTATGTATAAAGTATCCAAAACAGTTGAACCAATTTATACTTCCATCAGCAATGTATGGAAGTACAGTTGCTCTACATCTTCCTTGAATTTCATTCTAAGGGCAATGGGAAATCACTGGAGGGTTTCAAAAGAGTGACAGCTAAATCCAACCAACATTAACAAATGCACTGTAGGGTGTATAAGGAGAAAGATCCAGGTAAACAATTCAGAATTTACCCTTACCTCGGTGAGACATGTCAGTGATTTTAGGACCTGTAGATGGGTTGGGTGGATCTGTTGAGAAGTGAGAGTGAGTCAAGGATTATTCTAAATTTTGAGCTTTGAATCTCTAGGCAGTGAGGAAGGATCCTTCAGCTATAAAACTACCAGCTCCAGACTGTACTACCATTTCCACCTCACTACTGTCTACCTTGAGGGTATAGTAGGTGTTCAATAAACATTTGTGAAAAAAAATAACTGCTAATATGCACAAATGTCTCAGCAGGTGGAATGCCTTCAATAAAAGCTTTCTTTTGAAAATTTTTATTGATGTAAAATTCACATAACATAAAATTAACCATTTTGAAATGTTAAATCCAGTGACACATTCTCAATATTGTGCAACTATATTTTCATCCAAATATTTTCATCCCCAAAGGAGTCATCACCTATTAAAGAGTCACACCCCTTTCCTCCCTCCTCCCAACTCCAGGCAAACACTAATCTGCTTTCTGTTCCTATGGATTTACCTATTTCTGGATATTTCTTATACATGTAGTCAAGGAATACAGTTTTTGTTTTTGAGTTTCTTTGTCTGACATACTATTTTTGAGGTTCATCTACATATTAGCATAGATAGGTAATTCATGTTTTCTGAGGGATGAATAATACCCCACCACATGTATATACCATATTTTGTTTATCCAGTCATCCCTCAAAGGGCATGTGGGTTTTTTCCATCTGTGACTATTGAGAGTAATGTTGTTTTGAACACTGGTGTTCAAGTACTAGAATACCTTTTTTTTTTTTTTTTTGGTTATGATCCAGGAAAACTTTATTTATAAAGAAGGACCACAGGTTAGATATGGTTGCCTTGCATCTATAGTTTGACAACCCTTTTTAAAAAAAGTCATAGTAGTTTATTTTTACATCATTTTGTGCCTTCTTCTATCTCAGTTGTAATCTCTGTGGACTTCTCATCACCAATTCACATGTGTGCCATCACCATAGTCCTGTGCACAACCCCACATTTTTTTTATTATAACAGTTTATTTTTACATCATTTTGTACATTTGTTTTCCATCTCAATTTTAACCCCTGTGGTTTCCCATCACCAACTCACCCGTGTGCCATCACCATAATCCCATGCACCTCCCTCCCCATCCCCCCGGTTTTGATCCCATTCCCCACTCCACCCCCGTAAAATGTCTCTGGTATATGGTTGTTCATTATTTTTGTTATTTTCTCGCCTGGTCCATTATACTCTTGCTATGAGTGAAACCATCTGGTATTTTTCTTTCTCTTTCTGGCTTATCTCACTAAGATTGATCTTTTCCAGCTCCATCCAAGTTGCTGCAAAAGACATGCGTTTCTCTTTTTTGGCTGCTGAGTAATATTCCATTGTATATATGTACCACATCTTTTTAATCCAGTCATCTACTTTTGGGCATTTGGGCTGCTTCCATGTTTTTCCAATCGTAAAAAAAAAGCAGCAATAAACATGGGGGTTCAGATATCTTTTCAATCAGTGTTTTTGTGTCTTTTGGGTAGATACCTAGGAGTGGGATTGCTGGGTTGTAGGGAAGCTCCATGTTTGGCAGTTTGAGGAAACTCCAAACAGTTTTCCATAGTGACAACCCCCCATTTTTTTTTAAAAGATTTATTTATTTATTCATACAGAACTGGGGTACAGGCCAGAGATGCGGAGGGTGAAAGGATTCACCAGAGACAGAGTGGGGAGCAGAACAGGCAGATCGACGAAGTACACTGCTGAGGGGAGCAGCGGGCGGGCCAGGAGAGGTCTGTCTGCCGCGCCATGTGGTCACCTCTGGGGCAGGCGGGGATCGAACTCATGCGGAAGTGGCTTAAGCTTCTTAGTGCTGTGCCTTAACCTGCTGCGCCACCAGGGAGGGCCACAACGCCCCCCCTTTTTTATCCCATTCCCCACTCTACCCCCATAAAATGTCTCTGGTATATAGTTGCTTATTATTATTATTATTATTTTTCTCTCCTGGTCCTTCATACTCCTGCTGTGAGTGAAACTGTCTGGTATTTTTTCTTTTTCTTTCTGGCTTATTTCACTAAGCATGATCCCTTCCAGCTCCATCTATGTTGCTGCAAAAGGCATGGGCTTATCTTTTTGATTGCTGAATAATATTCCATTGCATATATGTACCACATTTTAAAAAAAGATTTATTTATTTCTGCATACAGAACTGGGGTACAGGCCAGAGGTTTAGGGGCAGTGAGAGAATTCACCAGAGACAGAGTGGGGAGCAGAAGAGGCAGATCAATGAAGCACACTGCTGAGCGGAGCAGCGTGTGGGTCAGGGGAGGTCTGACATGTGGGTCACCTCCAGGATGGGGATTGAGCTCATGCTGAAGTGGCTTTAGCAGCTTCTTAGTGCTGTGCTTTAACCCACTGTGCCACTAGGGAGGGCAATGTACCACACTTTTTAAATCCAATTATCCTCTTTTGGGCATTTGGGTTGATTCCATGTCTTTCCTATTGATTACCTTTTTTCCCCAATTCTGGGCACATATGCTAGCAGTGGAATTCTGGGTCATCTACAGTAATCTATGTAGCTTGAGAACTGTTACAGAGCTGTGAGAGGGGCACCATTGAACCCCCAAACCTGCCCACTCTAAATAGGTTCTGCCATACTCCGCATCAAAACAAGACATATAAGACCTTTAATGGGAAGGAACTTTAATACAATGTGTGTGCAATACATAAATACAAAGATATATTTTCTAAATCACCCAAAGTTACCCCATCTCCTTGTGGGTAAAAATCCACCCAAAAGGGATTGGCCCAAAGCAAGGCCTGAAAGCAACCACAAGCCTAAGGCACCTTCTGGCTGGGACCCAGAACAAAGGGTCAGAAATGGCCAGACAAGTCTGGGAGGAAAAGAGCAAAATAAAATCAATATAAATACTGCCATAGTCAACCTCTCCATGGCTCTCTCACCCACTCTGTTTCACCAGTCCAGGGCCAAGAAACAAGACAAAATTTCTTCACATGTCTCTCTGCTCCATGTGCCTCCCTCAGGTCTCCTTTTGGCTCTCCATCCTGCTTCCTTCCTCTCAGTCTCCTCTCCAGATTCTTCTCTTTTCTGCTCAGTTCCACTCTACTTTGGCATGGCAGGGAACCTGGAACCTCCCCCTTTCCTGGGGACCACTGTGTGCTCAATAAAATTTTGCAGAAAGGAAGATGGGACTGAAGACTTTTCCTATTGCTCTCTACCACAAGCAACCCTGGCCTGTGCCATTTGCAATGTGTGTCATCCGGGTCATGTCACTTAATTACTGAGTGGTTTCCTCATCCTCAAAGTAGGGAACTAAAACTTTACTTGCTTGCTGAATGAAAGACTATTCCTAAGGCTCCAGACACAGAGTAAACATCCCAAGTTAACTGCCTTCGTTTTCGCCTGACCTTGTCATTTTACACTTCGCCCAGGCACCCACATAGTTTTGGGGCAAAGTTCCTACCAGCGGGCCACCCAGCTCAGCCTTCCACAAACTACAACTCCCAGCAAGCACTTCGCCCCAACCGCCTCTTTCAGCCTGGTGCGCATGTTTGGCAGACGTGGCACCGGGAACTCGGAGGCGGGGAGTGGCTGGGAAGTGGCCGTGGCGGTTGGACCCGACTGGGCTGGCGGGCGCGGGAGCCGAAGTGGAGACCGGAGCCGGCCGTGCGCAGCGGCCGCGGGAATGGCGCGAGCCGGGCGGGCGTGGCTGCTGCTGCTGCTGGGCATCTGGGTGAGGCAATAGGGTGGGGGTCCTGTCCGCGGCCGGCACGTGCTCCCAGTGTGCGATTCTGCTCCCTGCTCCCGGCCCTCTTTCAACGTGAGGGGACCTGCCCCCCAGCACTGGGGCGGGAACGTGCTTGCCTCGCAGGCTGGGTCTCAGTGGCTGCGGGGGAGGCAGCGGGGTGCCCCTTGCTCCCTCCTCGTAGGACGCTCTGGGACGGTGGGAGCTGGGTGTGCCAGGTGATCTCTCGCCGGGTTCTTGCGCCACCGGCACAACTTTGCGGGGGCGCCGGTCAGGGGGGCGGCCGCCTGCTATGGCGGGATACCGGTGAATGTGGAGGTGCTCTCAGCCCCAGACTCAGGGCCCTGCACCTGTTTGAGTGCGGGCTGGGGAGTGCTCGCCACCTGCCTTACCAGAAGCCTTTTTTAAGGTCCACCTTGTTCTGGTTTCGATCCTGAGATGTTGGGAAACCGCGGGTCACCAATTGGGCCCCAGCCTGCAGAAGGGCTAGAAGGGCTGGGTGGGGTCATCACCTAGGAGTTCTACTCCTGCATCCAACCGAGGCTGACTCCAACCCGGCACTTAGGCTGTGTGACGCCGCGTATCATTTAATGTATCAGACTCAGTCTCCTCATGCATGAAATAGGGACGGGGGAAAGATACCCCTTTCACCAGGTTGTCACCAGAGCCAGATGAGAAATCCTGATGAGAAATTGGAGGAAAGCGCTGTGTAAGCTGTAAAATACTAAGAGCAGAAGAGTAAAATGCTAAGAACAGGGTGCTGGGAGTGGTGGGAGAGAAGAGTGCTACACGTGTGGGGGAGAGGGTAGGGCTCCCTGGGAGAGATTAGAATGGGCAGCTCCAAGCAGTGCAGAACAACCCCCACCGCCCCCCTCCTCCCAGTGCACCTCCGTCTTGCTTTGAGGTTACTTTTGGGTGTGTGATGGGACATTATGACCTTCCACATTTCTCTCATAATTTTGGTCTCCCTTATCTTAGGACCATCTTGGTTCCTTTATTTCTTGAAGTTCCAGGGAATTTCCTGTTGCTGACACCCTTATCAACCCAGATTCTTCAGTATTTTTCTTTTGGGTGTGGCAAAGAGTGGGCCAAGTGGGAGGCTGAATGTAGGTTGAGTTGCTTCCAACTACCAATACTAAATATCCTGTCCTTTGGAAGCATCAGTAACCAACAAACAGTAACCAACAAACTGGTTATCTGGAAGTGAATGTACTCCTAATTCTGATCATCCTCCCCCCGGGACAGAGCTAGACTGCAGTGAACAGTGACTTCACAGATAGGATGTATTTGATGATGTTTGCTTTCTGCTCCCTGGAGCCAGTAGACCTGTCCCCGCTCTAAGCCAGGACTGTGCAGAGGAGGCCATTTCCAGCACTACCCAGATCAGGTAGTGCTCTTGGGTTGTTTTAGTAAGCCCAGCTTTCCTTCCTTCTTGCCCTTTGCTTCCCTCCTATGAGAATAAAGGTTTAGGGAATACGATCGGATTTCATTCAGTAAACATTTGTTAATCAATGTTTGGGGTTGGATTGGATTTGGATTTTGGGTGGAGAATAAAGCACACATTGTCTGCTCTTCTCTATTACTTTGGGTCTGGGAGCTAGGGGAAGTCAGCCTTGAGAACAAATAAATAGGATAGCCAGTGCTAAGGTCCTTGTGCTGGGTCCTTAACTGGAGGGGAGCTTAATCTGGAGGGAGGGTCTGTCCTGGCTTTCCTGAAGGGTTGAATGAATAGTCTGGAGAAAGTGTAGTCAACAGCTAGGCCTTTGGGGTTTGCAGTTACTTTGTGTTAGGAGGTGTGGAAGAGCAGGTGGGTTTGCTGAGAGCACTAGAATTTGAGAGTCTGCAACAAGGACAAGAAAATCAACATTTTCTCCTGCCAAGCCCTGGGTTGGCTTAGCAGGTGTAAGGTGGAGGCACAGGGTCGGTAGTGAGTGGTTTCTGGAGACCAGGTTGAGCTTTTGTAAATTTAAACTCCATGTTTCTCTGATAAGGACCCCCTAGGTCCTGGGAGTGGATTGAGTTTCTTTGTTCACTCAATATTTACCAAGGGCTGATGTGTACAGTGCTGGGCTGTGGCCCGAGGGATATAAAGAAGTATAAAGAGGTCTACAGAGATTTGTGGAACAGGGATGTACATCCTCCACATTGTTTACAATAGTAAAAATATGGAAATGGCTTCAGTGCTCAAAAATAGCTGTGTGCTTAAATGACTTCTGATGCTGCCCATACCATGGGAGACAATGTTGATGAAGAATATTTGCATTTGCTAGAGTGCTATTTTTACTATTAAAATATGATGCATAGAAAAATATCTAAGGACATGGAGAATTGCGTAAGTGTGATAATTAGGGGGGCAAGCAGAGTGCAGAACTGAACCCTAGAGTGTCTGAAGCCTGCTCCTTGCTTGAGGACTTCCAGTGCAATCAGTATTAATACTGATAGCTCGGGAGGGCAGAGTTGTGGATGACTTTTGTTTAGGCTCTTCTGTCTTCCAAGTATTCTACATGAAAATATGTTTGTTTTTATCAGAAAAATTAGTAAAGAAACCTTCAAAAATAGGTTCTTTTTGGGCCTCTTAGCCTTTCAGAAAAATATTAGGTAGAACACGTCTTAGTCAACACTTGGAACAAGCCAGTTCAGCATTTTCAGGCTGGGTGTCTGCTCTCGGCCTGTAGCTGGGGAGGCTGTGTTGTCCTGTTCCCCCAACTCCTGTGGAAGACTCCCTTGCAGCTGACCCTCCCCAGAGCCAGCCATGCTGGCTGTCCAGCAGTCCACACCCGGTCCTCAAGTGGAAGAGTGTCAGACTGGAATGGAGTCTACATGTCACCTGACTCAGGCCAAAGACAAGCTGGACTCTGACACAGCTGTCACTGGTTTACAGACAAAATGGACGGAAACAATGGTGAATGTTTTATTTTCATTAATCCAAATATTTTCTGGTTAAAAACTTGTTTGTTTTCCTGCTATCCATATTTGTGGGTAGGTGGGCATAAATCACAGCACCCTTTTGAAATGAAAAATGAATGTAGTGATAATATATTTTCATTAAAAAAGAAATCCTTGATAAAATTTATTTTAATAAAACCTATATTTTGGACATATTCTGCCAATCTGTGAGATTCAAAAATCTGAACTATTCTATAAGAAAATTAAGACTTTGAGAAAGAAGCCACTTGCTCAAGGCCACTTACTTGGTAAATGTAGAGCTGGAATTAGAGACAGGCCTTGGGAGCTAGAAATCAGGGTTCTGCCTGCTCCATCTCTGTCATCCCAGCTCTCCCACCTGCTTGCCCCCTCCCGAGTGACTGCTTGGTCCCCTAATGGTGACTTGAAGCTCAGAACCTGGTGGGACAATGGGAGGTGGAAGAAGCCGATTATTGCCCCTAGTCGCTCCTGCAGAACGTTTAATGTACATGTATTTAGGTTCTACACCATTATATATTTAATAGGTTTTTGTGGGCTGGCCCGGGGACCTAATTGCCATTTGTAATGCTGTTTGGAACCTGGAGTGCACTTTTCCCACAGAAATAAACACATTATAGAGGAAGTTTTAAAACAGAACTGGCACTTAAGTTGGAGGAATGGCTGAGTGCTGCATGAGTGGCAAGGGCTGGCCCGGGGGACACCGACTGACCAGAGGGGCCTCGCCTCAGGCCTCATGAAGAGAGACTCCATGCTCGGCCCCCAGCACCTAGTGCAGGGCCTGCCTTGCATTCGCCCCTGGTCCTTATGCCATTGCAGGAATTAGCATTGCAGGCTCAGAAAGGATACCTTTAGGAAACTTTCAAAGGAAGCCATGGGCAAAGGAAGTCAAAGGATAGCTAGGGCTGGATGAAGGGAGCCTTGGCGTCTGGAGATGGGGGAATAAGATAGGAAGCGGATGGTAGAGGACCTTAAATGCTCAGCAGAGTTTTTGAGACTTGATTCTATAGGTAATGGAAAGAGGATGAAAGCTGCCCTTTGAAAAACAGGGTCAGGCAGGCCATAATATAGGGTTGGGTTGGAGTGGGAGAGGACTGGATTAATTTCCCCAGAACAACACTTTCTTCCTCTTACTTTCTTCTCTGTTATCTACAAGATAGTGTCAAGTGATGTAGTGGAAAGCTTGTGGGCTTTTAGCCAGCCAGACACTCAGGAGCTGTGTGACTTTGGGCCCTGCCTCAATTTTCTTTCTTTCTCTCTTTAATACATCGTTATGTTATTTACGTTTAGAATTCACCAGTTGTCCCAATAGTGTATTCTAGAGCACTTTTTTTTTTTACTAGATTCCTATCAGAGATTACACATTGAATTTACTTGTCATGGCTCTTTACTCTTTAGTGTGCTTTTATGCTGTATGCTTTTACATCTTTATTTTTCATATAGTTTTTTTTCATCCTATTCCCCTCCTCCCCCCACCCCCTCCCTTCTCTTTCCACCTCCTTCTTAACTTCAGAGCTACAGGAAGTTTGTTGATGTCCAGTAGTTTATGTTTAACATTTTGAATTGTCTGTCTGATATTTGTTTTTACTGTTCTGACATGTTTTGCTAGTTTTCTTATTTATAGTTGGTGGTAATAATATCCAGGTTGCAGAGTTGAAAGGATGGGAAATAATGCAAGAAGCATCCAGCACAGTGCTTGGCACATGGAAACATCCGATAAATGGATGCCGCCATTGCCATCTCAAGTTGTTCAAGTTGTTGAATAAGAGGTGCCAGGGGAAAAGGGCCTGAGAGGTGTGAGCCAAGACTCTGTGATGTGTATGTGTGTGTGTGTGTGTGTGTGTTGGGGGTGGGGGGGGACTGTTTTGCAGGGTTTCTATTTCACTGAGCTCCTGAAGACTCCTTTGCCTCCTCCCTGCTGGGTTCCTGAGGTGGGGGGGGGGGTGGGCATTGCAGAGGGACTCAAAAGTCTCTCTCCTTTGTTCTGAAAGTGAATCCTCTCTTGAGAATGGAGATACCAACCACACTGGGTCCCTGGAGACTTTGCCCCAGCTTTGTGGCTTTGT